TACAATGACAGGTTTTTATTTTCTTCTTTGTACCTTGCCCTATTTTCCAAGTCAGAGATGTAGGATACTCTCATGAATAAAAAAATCTTTTCTGAGAAAACATCTGGAAGCCCTTGGCCCAGTGCCTGGCACATGGACGTTCTTCCAAATGCTTGCTGGAATGGTACCCACTGGCTGCCCTCGCCAGCTAATGTCAAATGAGTAATTCACATCCAAGACTGCCGCAAGCTGCCTGCCCATCCCTTACTGTGGGTCTCCTTAGGGCAGAGCCTCTCCCACATCCTGGTCCATTACCACCAGTAGATTCTTCCCCAGCGCCCCCTGCTGGAATAATTTCACCTTAGTCAGACCAGTGACCACTTTGCCACATGCTGAGGTCCCCTATTCAATAAATACTGGCTGATTGACTGAATCTAGTATGATAATTTGAAGAATGAAGACATTTGATAAAGTCAGCAGCTTATTGTTCTACATATAGTAAGTATTCCAGTTTTCAAAGAATGATTTCTAACTCTTAATTATGCATCTCCACTTCCATCAAACATTGTGTACGTTCTCAAGGCTTTTACTATCATCATGGTAGGTTTTCCAAGCCTTACAAGACTCACACAATTCACGATGAGTAATGGATAAGTTAAAAAAAAAAAAACTTTTTAAGGGCTCAATTTTGGTTTAGACCTATTATAATAGTCAACTTCAAAAGTTAGTTTTGGAAACAGAGACTAATGAAATAGCAACTTCACCACAGTACGTCTTACGTTTTATTGCCATTTTGCCATTTTGCTTTTAATCCAAAGCTAAAAATACAGCATTATGAGAGAATATGCATATACTCTAATAGTTGATAGCTCTCTAGATAAACACTGACAGCTCTATTGTAAAGATTATTATCCTAGATTAGCCGTGTTCAAAGTGTGGTCTCCAGACTAGCAGCCTCAGGAACAACTAGAACTTGCCAGAAATGCAGATTCTCAGGTCCTGCCCTGACCTAGTGAATCAAAAACTCTGAGACTGGGGCCAGAGAAGCCAAGCCAAAGAAGCCTTGGCTATCTGGAGAGTAAGTTTGCTGGGTCAGAAAACGCGCCTCACACAAGCTTCATTTTGCTCAGGGAAGCCTGAAACTGTGGTGATTTGATGATTTCACTGCCAAAGGAAGAGTAAAGGGAAGACATTCTTGAGAAACAAACAAGCCATGATCTAGAGGTGGAAAGTATGAAATATCCTTCCTCATGCTCAAGCTGATGGCAGAGGCAACAGTCCCTTGATGGAATTAAACAGCATGCTGAAATTAGGAATTTGATCCTGTCTGATTTGCTGGAAAACTTTTGGGAATGTCACCACCTCATTGTGCCATTAGCAAAAGTGCAATATTTAAAATCTCTGTATGAATGCTTTGGAGCCAGCTGCTACTTACCGGTCATGAAATCTTCAAAGATGGAAAAATCTCTCAGGACTTCCCTGGTGATCCTGTGGCTAAGACTCCATGCTTCCAATGCAGGAGTCATGCATCTGATCCCTGCCCAGGGAAGTTCCACATGCCATGCAGCCAAGAAAAAAAGAAAGTCCCATCTCTCAGGCCACTGTAAGGATTTTTTTTATAACACAGTTCCCTATCAGCTGTCAAATAGCAGAAACTTTAAAAATGTTAATTATCATACTGATGAAATATTTTGTTAATATGAAATAAGTAGTACTAGAAACATCTGGTAATGAAAAAGGTATTACAAAACCAATCTTACTAGGCCTTCAATTATTATCCAGCAAACTTGAGTGCCATAGAAGAAAACATGACAGAAACCTACATTCAAGGTTAAAGACTGAGTGATAGAAAAAAAAAAGATTAAATAAATATTAAATAAAACCTATTAAAAAGAATAGGGAAAACAATCATTTGCTTAAATTCAGTCATAAATCCTGGTGGCTCAGACAGTAAAGAATCTGCCTGCAATGTGGGAGACCTGGGTTTGATCCCTCGGTCAGGAAGATGCCCTGGAGAAGGAAATGGCTACTCACTCCAGTACTCTCGCCTGGAGAATATCATGGACAGAGGAGCCTGGTGGGCTACAGTCCATGCGGTTGCAAGGAGTCAGACACGACTGAGTGACTAACACTTTCACTTTCATACGCCAATATACACCAGAGAAATGTGCAAGTTGTAAATATTTCAAGTGAAATGAAATTTGGAGAGCTGTGAAAAATCACAGGCCACTCTATGAAACTCAAAAGAATAAGCCTGAATTTGGTTCTGTCTTCCATGAGGTCGGGAGGACACAACTTCCCTGAACCTTGGTTACTTCTACAGGGATAATGATAATCATCTCTTGATATTTTTATATGCAAACCTGCCTTGCACGGCTCTCTAGATGGATGTGAATCTGTTGAACCCTAACTTCTAATCCATTTTTCAAAGCAAGAGGTACATAAACATTTGGCTTACCCAGGTTTCAACAATCACATGATTCCAGTTTCCTGGGGAAAAGGGATGGGGCCTCCTAACATTACGGTTGAGGAGGAAATCTCCCACTCATAGATGGTACTCCAGTCATGCCTCACACACCAGATTCTGACCTTCAAGACCCTGAGATGTAGGCATGACTATTTTATCATTCCCATTTTGTGAGTGGAGAAACAACCAACAGGGCAGTCCCCCAAGATTCCAAACCTTGAGCAGAGGGATGAGCTCTACAGAACACCTCTTCTGGGACCAGACTAGAGTCTCAACCAAGAGCAAATGGAAGTGGTTTCATCAGAGTGAAGATAATTGATAAGCTGATAAAAGATCTAGACCCTCAGAAAATCCCATGAGAGAAAGAATATTGGGAGCTTGGGAAACCATAAAGCATGAAGAGAGAAAATGCACCAGCAGAAAATGGGACTATTTCCTTAACCCAGAATCGCTCCAAATATACTCTCCCTTCTCCATGGGTACCCGCTGCCCAGGAAGAGGCCACAACCCCCAGACTCCCCTGTGTCTAGGTCTCCACCAATGGACTGGTGATGGAAATGACAGAGAAACTCCAAGTCACCTGCCTGGAGCACACCCTTCCCCTGGATTCCCACTCTTTCCCTCTGGGAAGGACGACTCCAGTCCCCCTGGAGGCTGGGACTAGAGACCACAGGAGTAACTGTGGATGCCCAGAGCTACACCACTGGCCTGGGTCTCTGGGTCATACATGGGTAAGACATAAACCCTTCATGGTCTCGGAGCCCACTGTATTGTTAGGTTCTGTTATAGCAACTTAACCTCTACTTAACTATTACAGAAAACAGGGAAGGTGAGGCAGGAAGGAGAGAGATCAGCAAAGTGAACAGCATGTTACGAACCCATCAGAGTCTGTAGTACACAAACCTACTTCATTATGCAGGGAAGGGATGAGAGAGAAATCAGCTTCAGTAATTAGGCCTTTGCCATCCACTTAATGAGAAGAGAGAATATTTAACAAACTGTACATAAACATTATTTTGGCAAAAAGTAAACAAAATAATGTTGTTAAGTGTATGAAAACAAGATGGTCTGGATAACAAATAAAAAATATTGAGACAAACTGCCAACAACTTGCTGGATCATAAGAAAACAAGGGCATTATAAAATTCCTTAGGTGTTATTTTTAAACAGCCACAAAACCTGGCTTGAAGTTATTAACCATTATTTTTGAAAATACAGCAGTCAATAATAGGTATATAAAGAATGAGCCATGCGGCCTTTTCAGGAGGAATCATGCATGGCAACTTATTAAAAGCCCAGGGTTACAGGTTCCATCTAATCAAATTAGTAGAAGCTTGTCCACAAAGATAAAGACCAGACTAATGACAGGCAGCAAGGGCTGCAGCTGTAGGGAAAGCCTTAATGAGAAAGATGGAGCAAAGTGCTGGGTGTGGTTGGCTTAAGTCAATTAATATAATAGATCAAATAAGTATTAATGAGATAAAACCAGCAGGCACCCCACCTTTCTTCTACAGGTTAATGAACTCCACAGTTTTGTGGATATCACCAGTCTTAGCACTAAACCCAAGTCACCTCCATTTCTTGAAATGTAAAGCCTGTAAAGGGAGACTATAGATTTGAAAATGCCAGGGTTTGCTAGAAAAAAAAAGAGTATTCTGTCTCCCAGTGAATCACCAAGAAAAAATAAAGCTTTAACTTACAACCTCGAATCACAAGAGTATCCAAACAAAAGAATGAATCTTGGCTTAAGTCTTGTTATGTCAGCTTCCCAAATAAAATCATCATTAATAAACCTTTGGTTACTTATTGTTCTTCCTCTTGACTTCCTGATTAACTCAGAAGAGGTAATTAGGTCCTAGAGCACCAGGAGTCTGTGACCAAATATATTTATAAAATGAGAAGTGCATTTTAAAACTTCCTCTACAAATTTCTGAACTTTGCTTATAGAACCCACACCGATGATTAAAAACAATAAAGAAGAAGAAGGAAAACCACTTATTGGTACTAAAGCCTTTACTGTAATAAACCAAATATATTTACAATTTATACAAATGTTTAACCTTCAACAAAAATACAAAAAAAAAAAAAACATTTCACAAGATGCAAAACCAGGAAACAAGTTCATTGGAGACACCACTGATCTACCAAGGACAGACAGGAGGGGAGCCACAAGGAACAGAAAGGTAATCTTGGCAGATCTCACAGAAAGAAAAGGATGAACTCTGCCTGGGCCGGCAGGCTCCGCTCCTGGAGCCCGCAACCCTCACCCCTCTGTCCACGCTGCCTCGGTGCTCCGTTCGGTCTAGGTAGACCGGTGACCTTCTCTCGATGCGCTCTTTGCCTCCTCTTTGTAGATGCAAAGTAGTTTCGTGTCAAGGTTTGGAAACAGGTTTTCGTGTTTTTAAAGTTACGACTTTTCTATTTCTACAAATTCAAAACATTTTGGCCCAATTCAACTATAAACATTAAACCACATAATGTTTTCAGTAGATGACTTCATAGACTGTAGCCTTCTTGTCCCCTGAGCCAGTGACAATGTATTTGTCATCCACAGAGATGTCACAGCTGAGCACAGATGAGGACTCTTTGGACTGGAAGAGAAAACAATGGACGTGTGTTTGGTGTGGAACAGAGATGCTCCAGGCCCTGTCCCTCCAAGGCACCTTCACTTCCAGCATCATCAGGAACACTGTAGTCCAACTGCTGCCATTCTAGGTGAGGATCACTGACTTACCTGGAATATGCTAGCTCCATAGGGGGTCCTCCAAGCATTGAGGAGGTTATCTTTTCCAGTACTCACAAACCATTTACCTAGAATTAGCAAAAGAACAGGTAATAAGATCAAAATTCCTGGTATATATTAGCTACTTGAACGTAATCAAACTCAGAGCATTGTTTAATTATGAACTATCACGCCCAAGGGTGTGACAGAAGTGGAGAGGGCAGGTTTTAAACATGGGCTCCAGTGTGAACCATCTGTGACCTTGGATTTAATCAAAGCGGAGCAGAGACCATGTCAGTCCCATTGGCCACTGGATGTATGACAGGTAGCTTCACACCCAGCACACAGTGGGTCCTCTGTCAATCAATGAAGTTGTTTTCTGTTAGTCTCCTTATGATAAATGGGACTAGAAAGGATTGAATGAGGAATCTAAGTTAAATGGCAGACAGGATATATGGCACATAGAATGTGGTCAGTAATGTGAAAGCTACTAATCCACCCCTCATCTCATGCATAAGTACTGGATTCCCCATGAACCTCTCTCCTCACTTTCCTCACTGCAGAGTGTAATGGTCTGGGCGCCCCTAAGTGCTCCCTTCTCTGATCATGGGCTCCTCATCCTGGTCAGTCCACTGCAGACCTCCTCTGCNTCTCTCCTCACTTTCCTCACTGCAGAGTGTAATGGTCTGGGCGCCCCTAAGTGCTCCCTTCTCTGATCATGGGCTCCTCATCCTGGTCAGTCCACTGCAGACCTCCTCTGCTCCTGCCCCATTCTCCTACAAATCCCCACCCATCCCCCTCAGAGGGGTGCCTAACTGCCCTCCACCCACACTTCTGACTCTCTTCACTAAAAACAAACATGTGTCAAAACCATGTATTAGGCAATTTTATCGCCTGCTGACTTTTCTCAAATTAGGGAAACAGACCGAAACAGGCATCACTATGCTCTGAGGGACAATTTTAAGACAATGGAATGATTGCATCCAGCTGCTCAGAGAACAACATTTTTTCCAGCTATGATCTCCACTGTATTTTTTTAGAAGTATTTTCCATTTCGGCCACCGGCGTCCTCTGGTTTCCTCTCAGCTGAACTCACCACAATAAGCGAATTTTAGGGACAGCACACAGCTCTCGTGGAGATGCAGCTGGTACTTGTCAGGTTTGTTCACGTGGAGGACTTCCACGTTGCTGCTCTCCATGCCCACGGCCAGCCACTCCCCAGTCGGGCAATACCCAAGGGAGAATATCTACAAGAAGCAGAGAGGGTCACTGAGTGCTTTGCCCGTAGACCCGGGAAGTGAACAGACAACAGAGGGGAAAACCAGCAAGGACAGGAGGACGTAATAAATACGGCAGAGGCTGTGGGAAAGCCTACGGGACAAGCAGCCCAACCCAGACAAGGCAAGTGTCAAAGACCTTTAAGGAACAACTTGGGAAGGAAAAACAACACTTGTTCCACCAGTGATACAAACAAGAAATGTATCCTCAGAACTAATACAGGTATTCATGTGTGTTGTCTAAAAGGGTTGTCTTTTACAGTTGGTGGTGGTGGTTTACTCACTAAGTCATAACCAACTCTTGCGAACCCATGGACTATAGCCCTCCAGGTTTCTCTATTCACGGGATTTTTCAGAGAAGAATACTGGAGTGGGTTGCCATTTCCTCCTCCAGGGGATCTTAACGACCCAGGGATCGAACTCCACATCTCCTGTGTTGCAAGTGGATTCTTGAAAGCCTGTCTTTTATAGATACCAACTGAAATACTTATGGATGAAGTGATACAATGTCTGGGATTTACTTTAACATAATCCAGTGTTTGGGGGCAGGGATGACAGATGAGAAGGGTTATGTGTTAGGAACTGAAGCTGGGTGATGGGCATATGGAGCTTATCATATAATTCTCTGTGCTCTCATATATGCTTGAATATTCTCTGTTCTCACATATATTTGAAATTTTTCATAAGAAGTTTTTTTATAAAAAAAGGCAGACCGAAAATAGAATCCTAACCATAATGGAAACAGGGCTGGAAGGGAACAGGGAAGACTATAAAGAACTCAACAAAATTTTGACAGGGACATGAAATTTAGTTGAATGTATAGTTGCTTTCCATTTCTGTCCTATTTTTCTGAGTTGAATTATTTTTATTACCAAAAAAAAAGTAAGTAAATAAGTCATGACAAAATAAAACAATTCCACCATCAGAAAACACTAAACATGGCATGCACTGTCTTTCCCCAAAGAGGCCTAGAGTTAGACACTTGATTTCTAAATAATTTCCACAATGCACAAAGTTGCCATTTTCCTATCATTTCAAAACTTCATAAATCTAGTCAGTCATGAGTCCAATTTCTAAGGGATGACTAATAAAACAGGCATCCACTGAGGTACCACTGTATTTTTTAAGCTCCCTGATGAAAGTGAAATGAATTAACTTGTAGATCTGTTGTGATTTTTCTCTACTCCTTGTGACATCCCTGCATATTTTTCAAGGTCTATTTATATGAGAATCAAATCATCTCTCACCCCTACATCAGAGGGTGAGAAGATGGACAGACAACACATCAGACCCTGTACATTCTTCACGGCACAAATTCCTGCAATGAATTCACCGATGAACAGAACAACTAAGAAGTCTTAACGCTACAGCATGTTAAAAGCCAGTCTAAGTGTTTCAGGGTGATCTGGGGGGTATGTGTGTGTGCGTGTGTGTATCCCAAACGAAAGTCTGGTCTGCCTGTCTAGCTTCTGCCCTCCTGGGGGTGCGGTGGGGTGGGGCGCCACAGAGCGCGGTGGGTCCCCGGCAGGCCCGGGCGCGCACCTGGGAGGTGAAGTCGTGCTGCTGCAGCTGCCGCCCCTCGCGCAGGTCCCAGGACCGGACCGTGTTGTCCAAGCCGCCTGTCCAGAGTTTGGTGCCATCGTTCGAAATGTCAATACAGCTGGCCCCGTCCGTGTGGCCCTGGAATTGCCTGATAAAACAAACCAGATTGAATAATGATTTCCTGCCAGAGCTCAAGGTAAACACTGTTGTGTTGTTAGTTTTGGACTCGCCGGGCGTGTGTCATCTCCTCGGTGTCTGCTGATGTGCAAGATCAAACCAACCTTCTTCCCTTGAGGAGGAGAGGAAACGGCACCTGCAGATTTTCTTTTCCTTTTTTCGTGATCCAAGTGCTGAAGAAATGGAATGCTGTTTTAGGTCACCACACAGGAGAAGTTAAATACGCTCCAAGAGCTATTCTTACAAATCTGTCTGGAAGGTGAAATTCCTCCCAGGTCTGAAAAAGTGTTTAAGTGTGAAAAGAAGGGGGAAAAAAAAAAAGACAAACACACAGAATCCCAAGTGTATTCCTTATAGAAAGAGGCAGGCCTCACCTCTAACCGCAAGGGCCTGTATCACCACATCACGGACTCAGGGCCCGGGGGCACATCCATTTCCATGAGTGAGTAACACAGAGATGCCCTTCGTGCCAGCAAAGCATGAGCTCATGTATTGACTCAACCTCGCGTTCTCTATTAGAAAAAGCCCCGCGTTAGGAAATCTGGACTCCCGGAGACAAAGGGGCATGCCAGCCTCCTGACTCAGACGCATGGGGCAGAGAGAGCGGACTGCTGACTGACCCCTGGGCATGGTCCTGCCTGGAGTCCCAGCACAAGGCCTTTGTTCTCTTAAAGGGGAATCTCATGCCTCAGTCAATAACTACCGCCAAAGACCCAGAGAACACACTTGTGTGTGCCAAGGATAGGACAGGGCGGAGGGAGAGGGGTGGACTGGGACTTTGGGGTTAGTAGATACAAACTATTACATTTAGAATGAATACACAACAAGGTCACACTCCGCAGCACAGGGACCTTCATCCAATCTCCTGAGATAAACCATGATGGAAAAGAACATAAAAAAGAAGGTATATATGTACCAAACAGTCATTCTGCAGAAATTAGCACAACATTGTAAATCAACTATACTTAAAAAAATAAATAAATAACACAATGAATCACCACTAAGAATGACCAACGAACATGGGTTTGCTGAGCACAAATGCTCTGCCAGGCCTCAGGTGGGGCTTGCTCAAGGGAGGGTGATGTACCCCCCCACAGGGCTGATGGTGTGGGGGGTCGTGGGCCTGGTTTTGCAGACCAAGGGGGAGCAGGCAGGGGAGTGACTGGAATAGGTGAGAGGCGCTCCAAGGCTTGATCAGGATGGCAAGCCAGGCAGACTCCATGAGAGAACTGCTTGGGAACTCAACACTCAGAGCAGTTTCCACTGCCTCTCGTTCCTGTTACCTTATTATTCCCACAGAGCTTCACACTTTAAAGCTGAGCTTGGAATGTAAAGGGCATGGAGGACAGGATGTGAGCTCCACTGCTGCCCTGAATTCTGAGACAAGATACAAAGCATTACTTCAGAAGTCTCTCTTCTGAAAACTACTCAGAACTTCCACCATGGTCTTCTCCCCCATGCACCCCAACTCTGTCCCTCAAAGTCCCAGCCTGCGTCCAAGGTGTCCCCGCTGGTCCCCCAGGCCTACAGCAGTCCTACCCCACCTTTCCAAAGTGCTGCTTTTCCATCTTCAAAAAGCTTGTGAAACCCAAGGACCTCCTTTTCATTTCAGCCTCTGAATTCTTCTTACCTCTGGAACTCATGAAATACCCGGACTCCTTGAGAAGAACTGTTTCTCTGGGGACCTAAACACGTAGTGGGTGCTCATTTCTCCATCCCTCCATCCATCTATCTCAGCGCTGCACTAAGGCTCCTAGAAAGCAGCTTTGAGGGCTGTTCAGAACGTGCTGGGTCACAGAGATACACAGATATTCAACAGACTCTGCACTGCCCTGTCACACAGTGGCCACTAGCCGCGTGTGGCCAGTCCAGACGGAGAGACGTGTGAGGCGCAACCCCGTCATATCCAACAGGTGCTTACTCCCCGGGGGTTGGCACGGAGTGGGGGCTCCGAGCACACGAGAGGGCAGGGTGCCTGAACTGCTTTGCAGCTCCTCCATGATACCATCAGGATGAAACAGGGCGCAAGTGACAGGGGTTAAAGAGAGGAATACTTGAAAAGCACTTCAAATGAACATTTTGAAAGTGTATTTATTAAGTTAAACAAAAAAAAGCAGAAAACAAAGAAAAAAATAGCCAACAATCACTAGGCTAGAAGTTTGAAGTGGCTGCTGGCTCTGGCTCCAGTTGTTCACTTTGCTCATTCTGAGCTGCCCAGAGAGTGACCAAAAAAAATAAAATAACTGCAGACTTTCACCCACATGCAAGGACAGAGCCTGCTGTGGTAAGACTTGGTAGATTTCTACAGAAAAGGATGAAGAGTGAGCCGCTCTAATGAGTTCCATGCTCTCCTCCTTCCCTCCAGCCCTTGGCCTGGAAGCATGGAAGGAGTTCTGCTAAGTAACCTATGAGTCTAAAAACACACCACACGCAGTGTTTCTAAGTGAAGATGAACTGTGACAAGAAAGGGCAAAACACAGGCCCATTCCACCTTAGATGTTTAATCAGTGCTTCCTTTATTTATTCATTCATTTATTTTGGGGGTGAGTGGGGGGTTACTCCCTAGCTGTGGTGCATGGGCTTCTCACTGCGGTGCCTCCTCTTATTGCGGAACACAGGCTCAGGAGTTGGGGCACATGGGCTTAATAGTTGCCCCGTGGCATGTGGGATCTTCCCAGACCAGGGATCGAACCCATGTCCCCTGCAGTGGCAGTCAGATTCTTAACCACTGGACCACCAGGGAAGTCCAGTGCTTTCTTTTCAAAAGGCTTTTCTCTAACATCCCTGACATGAGCATCAACTTGGCCAGAGGGAGGGAGCTGGCCAGAGCCAAGGAAGGGACACAAAGGTGGCAGATTCCAGGCAGCTAGGCTTGTTCCTGGGGGATATGACCCCTGGACAGGGCTTATTTAGTTATTGAGAAACACTGCTACTTTAAAACCATTCTGTGGCTTAAATTCATGGAATCTCTTCTAATGTTCTTTTGTTGATTTTCTGCTATCCTGTATCAGTTGGTTCCTGTTTGCACATATGAGGTTCCAGGCAAAGCCAAAAACATCTAGCGTTGAGGACCTTTTGTACCTCCATCTAATCCATGGTATTCTGCCCCTTGGCAAAGGCCAGGGATGTTTTTTAAACAAATCTGGCATGAAGAACAGGAACATCAGGGAGTTAAATATAAAGTCTGGGCGACACCCAAGCATGGCAGCAAGAGTGTAAGCCCCTGAGGGTGGCGACACGGTCTTGACACCCAATTCCAAGCCTGGCCTCTGTGGGCTGAGAACCTGGGGGCAGGCAGAGGAGAAATGGAGGGAGGGGGCACCCCCAGCTGAGGACACCGCCCCCGCTCACCTCACCAGCGTCTGGTTGTGCAGGTCCCACACGGCGATGTTGCCGTCGCTGCAGCAGGAGAAGCAGACCTTGGAGTCGGGGCTGATGGCCAGGGCGTAGCAGGCGGGGGCCGAGGACGTCAGCTCTGCCTTGATGCGCGGGGTGGGAGCCGCCAGGTCCCAGATGGACAGGGTACTGGCTTCCCCTCCCACTATGAGAGTGCAGCCGTCAGGGAGCAATTTGCAGGAACGGATGTAGTTATCCCTGTTCTGTGAAATAAACATAATT